AATAGATTTTTTTTTTGGTCGACGACAAAAACATACGCTATATCATGAGTATACTCATCATTAGTTTTAGTTTTTTTTTTTAGAAAAATTCTATTTTATAATTCATTTTCATTATAAATTATTCAATTGTTCCATTGACAAAAAATGTAATTCGAGAAAAGTTAAATTCATTTTGTGAATTTCTTTAGTCTAAAATGATTTTAATCACTTTTGATGAGTTTTAAGTTGTTTGCACGACTCGTTTTATAGTCATTCATAAAGAAAGCTAACTATATTGGATTTATCTGATCTAATAATTCTATTGGTTTTATGATATGATCTTATCATTTTTTTTTCGGATTTATTACAAATCTTGTGATCTATTCAACTTCTTAAATAGAATAAGGACTAACTATTAAAAATTTATTTTTCAGATACTGTTTAACCGATTATTTTATAAGAATAATCGAATTTTCAGGTCATTTCTTTTTGTGATAACTGCTCGTTGATATGTAACTACATGAAATATCTTAATCGTAGCCCTTTCTCTCTTTTTTTTTTGATTACTTCTTGTTCTTGAAGAGAATAAAACTGATTAACTTAGGACTTTTAATATATATAGAGCACCTAAAGTAAGGTAAAATATATCTAAGAAAAACAATTGTAAACAAGGTTTTTTTCCTGTAAAACAATGGTTTTCCATAGAATCGTATCTAACCATATTATGATGTCTATCAAACTTTGTCCGATAGAAATGAAAACTTTTTTTAAGATATCTTAGACTATACTTCAGAAGTATTTTTGAATTTTTTCAAAAATTTCGCTTTCTTTCTTATGAGAGAAATATGTTTAAGGTGCAGATCTAAAATCGAAATGTGGCCGTTCTGAATTCTATAAACCTGGATAGGAAGGTCAAAAACAAAACTGACCGTTTTTATCTCTTGAGAACATTTTCAAGTATTTGTAGTGAAAATTTTTAGTTCCATCAGAACCGTAATATGACTAGATGCGATTCTATAAAAAACCAGAGTTTTCCCGAAAAAGAAAACGAAAACCTTGTTTACAATTCTTTTTCTAGGTACGCGTGTCTCCCTATTTTCAATACTCTATCAATAATAAAAAGGTCTAAGAAGAGGAAAGAGGTACCATTAAGCTAAAAGAAATAGCATAAGTATAACTAGGAGTAAAACAAACATAAAGAATGTTCCATAATAACTGAGGATAAATTGTCAATGACATTTTTCATAGTTTTTCTTGACGTAGAAGGCTGAAATTTTTCTCATATATATTTGTAATCAAGACGTTTAGTTTTACATAGTCTAGGTAAAACTACTGTTGAAATGAATGGACACGACAAAAATATATCAATTTTCATAGTTGATTTTTGTGACACGTTCCTTTGTTAATCACTAACATTTATAAACATCTGATAGAAAGAAACTTTACAAGGCAACGTTTTTTTTTCAAAAACGTTAATTTTAAATTTTCATTTCAAAAAATTTCTCCATGCATGTATATTTTCTTTTTCTAATTATAATTATGTATGAAACATTTGTTCGCGAACTTTTTCGTTCATTTCATTTCATACATTCTTAGTTCTTCATACATCAATTAATTTAACATGGCTATCCATTGATTCTATACGTTCATTAAAAAATTGTGCTACGAACTATGGGATCAATACTTTACGTTGTTTTCGTATAACTGGTGAACATTTAAAATAAAATTGGCCATTAAATATAAGAGATTTTAGATATAAATGTATTCATATATCCTTAAAACAATATTTAGTTGCTCTATCGTGATTGACTAACTTATAAAAATATTACAAAAATCTAGTATGACAATTTATCTATGTTAACTTTTTCCATGCATTTTAGCTAGAGAGCCTAAACTTTGCAACATTAATGGTCTTAGCTAGAAAAATTTCAATCTTCTACGTCTGTGAAAAATGTTGTTGACACTTTTTATTTTCCTTTATTATGGAATACCCTTTATAACTAATTCTATTCATAATATAATTTTTAATATTCATCGTTTCGAGCAGAAGAAATTTACAAAATTCCAATGACAATTTTTTTTGTACTTTACTATATATAAGTATATGTGATGAGATAGTTTGTTATCTCATATAAAGAAATAAACGAATATCTTTTATTATTATTAATTGTATTGACATATATATATATCAGTACCCAATGTATCATCACCCAACAAACGTGGTATGTGGGTGTAACACTTCTCTTCAGTAATACCCACACAATAAAAATATAATTCTCGATTACTTTTCTCAATGATCCAAGAATCATCAGAGATTGAAAGATAAAAGTCATTAGAAAACTTCAATAAAATCTTTTGCATCTCTTACACGCTAACATACAACGTGTTGCACTTTGAAAATGCGATTAGAATCTACCCTTGAGTACGGCTGTAATTTTTTGTAGCATAATCGAATAATTACTACTGTTTCAGTTTAATTGGAATTATTAATATCCATTCTTGAGGTCCAAAACAATAAGATCTTAAGTTGTAGCTTATTTAAGCAGTGTTACAACCGATAGAGCCTTCTCTAGACCGGATCGGCATGAGTCATTGTTGATTTGTCTCATCTTATATGAATCATATCTAACTATGAATCACTACACAAATTACTTAAAACTTCTGTTTCAATACCGAGGAGCCTTGTTGAAACATGATTATCAATAGATATTCAAGACTCTGTCGAGAAATTTGATCCTATCTTCCTAGCTAGCTCCAAAAATCATGGAAAACCTAACTGTTAATGCTCTTTTAGTATGCCGATAGAAATTTCGATATTCAAAACTACTTAACAGATCTTCTGACATGTTGAGCTTCGCACTAGGCATGGTCTGTGATTTGTATGACAAAATTCCCAAGAAGAAACAACAAAGACTCTGCACTTCAGCTTACTTAGAGGCTAGGTCAAAATTATTCTTTGTAAATTCTTAGTAATTGAATGCTTCACTTCACTTCACCATTACTCAAAACTTCAAGAGCAATTAACTTTTTTGGCTTTAATATTATATAGACTTAAATAAAATAGATTCAAACAATCATGCTCCTAACATATGTTGATTGTAGAATGGAAACAGATATGAAGTTCTACAACATAGCTTTGACAGAAGAATATGAAATAAATAATTCAAAATAGAAGTAAATATGTAATAAATTACAATGACGAACCGTGGTCCCATTCTATTTCAATCATAGAACTTGACAATGAAATGACTTGATAGAATATATGAGGTGTATTTCCATGAATATTGACTTAATATAAGTAGTTTAACCCATACTCGTTCATAGAAAGCGTCATGGATATCAGTACGACTAGTATAATATGCAAACATAAACACTTGTATGGTCTATTTCCACAAGCAAACAGCAAAACAATAGAAAAAAATCAAGACCAACCGGTCTGGAAAAAGTCGTTTCTACTAACCGGTAAGGAATCCTAGACTGGAACCGGCCGTTTACCGTTACCGATTGCAACACTCCATCTAAGTTAGTTGGATCTCTATCAGACCGATTCGAAGCAGTGCATTCTTAAACGTCAATCAGTGGCTAATCGAGAAATAATCTGATTTAGAATAAAAGATATGTGGGAATGCATAAGCTGAGTTTGTATGAATTGAAAACGCCAAACAAAAGAATGAATGAATGACTAATTGATAGACTATGACACATTCTGATTGCAGCATATTTTCATACTAAAGCCTGCAACACATTTTATTATAGTATGTATGATACAATTGATGAAGCATATGGTCATATTCATATATTCAACCTTCGATTGATACCGACAGTAAAAGAAAAGATAAAGAACATGTCTATCTTTATGTATACTAATTATGTTATATATAGGTTTCTTTCAATATATTTAAAAAAATGCGATTAAAAAGAACTTTGATATTGTTTGTATACAGCGGTGTAACCAGAATTTTTAGACCTATAGACAAATTCCTCTTATATATCGAAAAAAATGATGGGCAAAGTTTTTATTGATAGACCAAAAATTCTTTGTCCCAACAAAGTACAGATAATGTAAAAAAACACAAAAAAATGGAATAAGATTCCTTTAATCAAATATGCATCAAACTCAGATCTTAAGCTTGAGTCAGATGTATCCGTTTATAACATTTATATTTCAAATTCAAACACCAAAGTCAAGACAACGATGATACATTTCTGTATATAATTTCAATATTCTATCTGAATTTATATTGAGATCTTTATGAATGTATGCAGCAGCAGGAGCAACAAGTCCGTTTAGATTATTTTGTTTCATTGTAGATCGACAATAACTTTTAATTCTCGATAATTGACTGAAACTTCTTTCAGTAGAAGCTGTTAATAAACTACAAGAAGCGATTCTTTTCTTAATTCTTCCTAGGAAGAACAAGGAAAGAGTGCATGTGTCATTCAGACAGAAGAGAAAAAAAATAGAGTTACTATCAAATTGTAAAATAAATAAACAATTCTGAAAAAGCTAAATTTCAATGGGCAAATCCTCAAATGAAATAGGCATTTATCCCATCCTTGGTATAAGAATCGGTGTATGATGACATCTTTTGATAAATATTACATAATAAAATGTATTGTTGTTATTGTAATGATCGTATAATAAGAGTAATCAATAGTTGAAGTGTTATGGTAGAAAATAATTCGTATGTAAATAGATATAATTGAATAAATGAACAACCATATTCCTCTTTTTTTCTATTGGCCTCCTCAATCTACCCTGTAGATTCTATAATATAATAGTGCATAAAAGGAAGGACAATATTTGTTGCTTGTTTTCATATGTTTGTCGTTCTTTTTTGTCTTCCTACATTTGATTGTTTTTTATTTAAATCAACCAAAAATATAATTTGAGAAAAAATATTTTTCTTTTCTTTTTGTTTTTTTTTTCTTAGATGTTCATCTCTGATTAAGTGATTTTTATTATTGATATTTGATCATCATTAAAATATATCTAAAAAAAGAAATATTTCAAAATAAGAATGCCATCTGTAACAGATCTTCAACAACAATCGTCGAAAATCTCATCAAGTAATAGTGGAAAATCAACACCACCACCACAACAAATAAGTTCAATGTCAACGGGAAATACAACTGATACTACAAATGCTGATCCAATAACTCAAGTTATGCTTATGTTGGAAAAAAAACAAAGAAATCTAGGCAAAAGAAAAGTATTATTTTTATTTTATTTATTTTCATTAATAATGAATTTATTTCTTAGGAAAAACTTGAAAGTTATGAAGAAGAAGCAAAGGCTGGTAAAGAACTTAATAAAGATCAAAAGGTAAAAGTTATAAAAATCTTTGAAAATATTCATTTAAAAAAAAAAAAAAACCAATTCTTTTAGGATGCATTGGCTAAATATAGTGAAGTTCTTGGGCAAATTGAATGTGTCAAAGATATTTCTGAACAATTAAAAAAAATACAAACTGAGGTTTAAAATTTTTCTTTTATTTTTTTTTATTCTCAAATAAAATTTATTTAAAAATTTTTGCTTTTCAGGCAACTAAAAGTCAAAAACGTCTTCATAAACAAGCAGCTGAAGAAAAACGATTATTAGTAGCTCAACGTCTTCGTGAATATGCTCAACTTCGTTATTTACTTGATCATCGACCAACAGTAAAAGAATTTTTATTTTATTATTAATAAATATTTTTATTTTGGTTTTTTTTTTTTAGTCATTAAAACCTGAAGAATCATCATTATTAGATGAACTTGCTCGTGTTGTTATCCCATGTGATGTATCATTAAATACAATAACTCGTTGTGTTGATACAGTATTATCAATATATCAAGGTGGTCCATTATCATCAACAATTAAAAATTTAACTGGTCGAACATCACATGAATTACGAGATATACTTGAACAATTAATTAAGCAATGTGAATCATCATCTTCTTCAAATGATACATCAACAAATCAACAAACATTATTTATTGAAACAGCTAAACAAACGCCTCTTATTGTTGATAATCAATCAACAACATCTGATTCTGTACTTCCTCAACGAGAACAACATAAACAACAACAACAACAATCGAACGATAATAATGATGGTAAGATTTTATTTTATTATTAAACAAAATAAAATTTGTTTTTTTAAAGTAATTGGTTCAACATTAAGTCATACTCATTTAATTCAAACAAATCCAAATGAATATCCATTACAATTTGATACACGAAATCAAAATATTCCACTTCAACAAATTATTGAAGATTCAACTTTTTTTCCTATTGATCCAGCAACAACAAATATTAATCAACATGTTAAACAAGATTCATCAAATAATCAAGATAATACACTAATACAAACAAATGATTCACAAAAAATTTTACCAACATTTAATGTTATTAATTCAAGTATTTTTTTTTGTCTTTTACTTGTTTTTTTTTTGATTTTATTTATTTTCTATTATTATTTAGATTTGACCGGTCAAACTTCTTCTCAAGGATATACGGTAGGATATTTTTTATTTTTTATATTCATATGTGATAATAAATATGATCATATTTTAGCAAACAACAACTCAACAACAAGGAAATGATTATGATCAAGTAAATTTATTTATTTTCATAAAAAAATTAATTTTTTTTGTTATTGTTTGTTTTTCTTAAAGGAAACTTCATCGAATGTTATTAGTTCAAGTAATGTTCCACCTGATGAACAACAATCCGAAGAACAATGGCATCAACCTCGTGGTAATACACATCGTGGTGGACAATTTAATGGAAATCAAAATAGAAATTATTATCGAGGTGGACAACATAATTATAATCAACAACATTGGCGAGGATCATCACGTTAGTTTAGATTTTTATTCGAAAAAAAAAAATTGTTTGAAATATTTCTACTTGTTCACTAATTCTATACCATTAATTAAACACAATATATTTAAATTTATGATCTAGTGTAACATCTATCATCAATATCTGAAATATTTCTTATAAAAATATCTTAATAATCTGTATCATACATCGAAAATTTTTTCCTGATGGTTACGTTGTTCGACATGTATCCACAAAATCTTGTGTGCTAAACCTCAATACCACCAGTAGACATCGACATGATCAAACATTTTTGGTTAGGTCACCATGATCTCGATCGTGATTGTGATTCACGAAAGTTCTAGAACTTGTATTAATGTGATTTATTATAAAGCGATTAGTCATAAGGGTAATATACGAAAGTGCATTGACTTATGTCATTAGAGTTTTTCTTTACTTGATGAACTAAATGAAAATAAAATATTCTAGAGAAGATATCGAGTTATTGAATCTGCTAGTCTATACTGTATCGTAGCTGAAAGGCAGGATTATTCTTCTTTCTACTGGAAATGAATGGTTTCCTCTTAACACATAAGATTCTCAATGTATATTTCAGAATACATTCGAAAAAAATTTTTGTTTTCTTGTAAATTTGTTATCATAGAAAAAATATTTTTATTCTAAGTGAAACTTTCGGTATATGATACAGATCATAAGACCTTTTTTTTTTATAGAAAACATTTTAGATCGAAATAACGACATTAGATTATTGATAAGATATTCTACATTAGATCATAAACTGAATGTAATTGTTATAACTCGACAAGAAAGGAATAAGAGGAGGAACTATTATAGATTTTGTATTAGCTTCAGTAGTACAGCCCGTTAGATTTGTTGCAAATTCGGTGGACCTAGCCGTTTGATAAATGTGTAGGGTGCATTAGTCACTGAATACAAAAAAAAACTGGAAAAAAATATGTCGTATCTTCGGAGTGACTATTCAATTTCGATTAGAAAATTTCATCGAGAGTATCAAAGTATAGTCCGGATTCGGATCCGAAAATTTTCTACCTGAAAGGCTCTACTCGGTAGTCTCCTCAAAAGTTTTTTTTTCTTTACTTCGAGGAGTTCTCTTAAGAATCGTGAGAATTACTCAGAAATATATATATGGGACAAAAGATTATGGCATGTCTATTTTATGTATTCCGAAATTGTTGCATAAATGTCACTATAATATTCCTTTTTAATTCAGGTGGTGGTAGTCATTATGATGGTTCCTATGGTAGTGGACAACGACAGTATAATGACAACAATACTCGTGGTGGAAGTGGACACCGAGGTGGACCTAACCCTAATTATCGAGGTAAGACATTACTATTCAATTGTTCGTATATATATATATATGATTGTTGTAGGTAATCGTGGTGGTAATTATCGTGGTGGTTATCGAGGTGGAAATGCTAATGGACACCAAAAAGGTTCTCAACATCAACAAAATACCGAACAACAACAACAAGTTCGTTCAGCTCCACCAAGTCAACATTAATAATAGATCATTGACAAGAACTGTCCGCTTTGTTTTCTGCACCCCGTTGAATGAAGAACATTATTAACGATGTTTTTTCGTTTCTTTTTTGTGTTTAACTCGTTAAAACTGTTTCGACTGATGCCGAAAGATGCTTTCTTTTTTTTTTACCGTTCCTTTTCTTTTTCATTTGTTTTCTCTTTCTTTTTTTTGTTTTGTCTGTATGACCATCATGAACGGATTATAACAAAGAAAAAGAGATAAACAAATTATTTAAAACATTTATTCAATTTGACTAACATCTATCAAACATTTATCTATTCATAAATAATCTTTTTATGTTCATAAAGCAGAGAAAAATCAAACATTTAACTAACAAAACTATTTACTAATATATATATAAGAACATCAATCAAGACTACAAAAAAAAAATAATCGTAATTAGATTCTTCTAATAAAACTATCTCGACAAAGTCAACATTTATTTAATGATGTCTTATCGGCTAACAAATTCTTATAACTCTTCTGATTTATAATATGTCTTTTGTTTCTATGTTTTTTATTTCATTGTTTCAGCAGATATACTATATAGATTGTAAGTAAATATATAAGCTTCGCTAAAACAAAAAATATTCTATTAACTATTTATTCTATAGTTTGATTTTATCATTTGATTTCTTTTTGGTACAGATCAAATATGATGTCAACTTCTACCAACATGTACGAGATGTACAAGAAAGTCACTTGTAAATCCGAATAAGTGGATGTAGATGAAAATGTGTCGACTAAATGTCTATTCGACGGTGTTCAAATATTAATATATTAAAATGAAAATTTATATTTGTTAGATATTTCATTAGTATTATCACCATCGAAAATAATTGAGTCAGATGAAGAAGTAAAAAAGAAAAAAAACCTAGAAAAATATTTTGATAAATGATGAGTAATTGTATGGATAATTGTCGATGGCGATTCGTAGGATGGTTTAATGCATTTATATAATGATAATGAAAAAGTTTTCATTGGCAAAATTCAAGTCATCTTTGTTGTGTATCACGTATTTGACCAAATTAGTAGAATAGAACAAGCAAACGTGAAAGAATAACACTCTACAATACATGTAAGGCTGAAAACGAATAATATATGATTCATATGAACTGATAAAAACAATGCAAAAGAACAATCATCCCATTCAGTGATGTTAAACATTTTAGGAATTATTTCCTCGGATGAATTAATTTTCTGGAATTCGTTCGGTAATCATAATTCCATCTAGTAACAGCAGTGACCATTTGATTGAATTTCCAGAGTTTTAAGAGTTAGTTCACGACAAGCAAAATCTTTAATTAGTGATATATGTATACCTAACAAGAAAAAAGTTGTTTCGATTATTTAAAATGATACTAGACAGCATAAAACTTAAATGTATTGAGGAAATGATTCATTCAATTTCAGACTACACTCTATGGGCCCTCCTACAACATTTTGCGATCATGTAGGTGAAAGACAACACATGAAAAGTTCTTATGGTGCTGCATACGATCGATGTCATGTATGTCAACGATGAATATGTACACAACATTTAAGTGAACATTATAAGATTGATAGTGAATCTCGTTCTGATGATCTCTTATCGATCGCTTTGATCCAATTCGAACACAACTTGAAATAATGCCTAATAATGAAATAAGACAATTTTTGAGTACAACAATCTATTGAAACTTGAAAAATTACAACTTATTTCAAGTGATGAAGATCGCTTTATATATAGATTAAACTTTCTTTTAAGTCGGACAATAACATCACTTAGTCTTGCTACTGCTAATATGTAGATTGAAATTGCTGATCTACTTATGCAGAATTTGCTTTAGAAATTAGTCAATTTAACTGTCTTCGATACAATTCATCAATTCTTGTTTGTTATTAGCAGCAACTTTATTACCGGTTAGAAAAAAACTTTCTTGTTTATTTCATGAGAAAACAATTTTTTTTCTATCAAAAAAAAGATTATTTTTTCTCTTGATCACGATCAACAACTTTTGGTTTTGGTGTAATAAGCATACCGACACTAAAACATATGATGTAAAGGTAAATGAGATCCTTATGACTAGTCTATATTGAGTCTTACCCGATTTTATCTTGTTTTTCTGGATCAACAATATTTGTATCTATACCTATACAAAAACAACACGATTAACACAAAATAGTAAACGTTATTTTACAGATATCTTCGATAGTTGTAGAAAAGAAAGAACCGGTTATGTTAACAAATAATGTTGATGATGATCGAGCTAAAAACTTGCTTATCTTATCAGTCGAAAGTTCTTCGAAGAGATCTCCAGTTTTTGTATTTAATAACTCAATAAGTTTATCAACTTTACCAAATGCACGAAAAAAGAAAAAAATTGATTTTGTAAAAACTAGGCATAAAAATAACATACTAGTCATATAAATATCAAATACTCTAAATATTAAATATTATAAATACTAAACATTAAATAATAAATATTAATAAATACTAATAAATGAAAAATAATAAATATTAATAAATGAGAAATAATAAATGAAAAATAATAAATATTAATAAATGAGAAATAATAAATATTAATAAATGCTAAAAATTATTAATTATTAATTCACTATTTTACTAATTAGCTGATTAATTAATCCATTTGTGACGGTCTATAATGGGGGGGCCTCGTTGCTATGGAAACATATCCAATAATGTGTGGTTTCGCGCCACATGGTTGCTAACGAGCCATAGGAAAGCAGCCAGTTCTTATTTTTCTCGTTGCTAGGGAAATGCAGCCAATGACATTTGACCTTTGACCTATGACCCTGGTTGCTAAGGTCTGTAATGAGGGCCTGCGTTGCTATGGTCTGTAATGATGGAGGCCTAGGGGGTGGGGAGCCGCAAAATCTCGATTTAAAACTTACACTCACTATTTTCTTCTAAAATATACGTGAGTTCCACAAAAAACTTCCAAAACACTATACATTCATGTCTTAACTGACGGTACAAATTCCAAGAAAGTCTCGAAAGAGAATTTTTGATTAGGTTATGTTATGGATTTTGTTATTAGCAAGTGGCGAGAAAATGTATGATTATATGATTTTTGTCAAACCCGTTTTGAATAAATTAAACCCTATAGCATTAGAATAGAACAGGTGTTTTTAAATTAACATTATCTTTTCGGTCTAATCATACAAGATAGAAGTTCTAAATCCGAAATTTGCATTAGCCAATAATATTTCCGTTTTTGGAAGTTCGTTGAAGACCACTTCACCCGTCCTCACAATGAATTTTCTATTTGACAAGATGTATTTAACAAGATTCACTTAACCTGAGTTTTTCAGGAATGAGTGGTCCTAATGAGAAATATTTTTGGTAAAACTTTCAACCCCATAAGGCGAACTAAACTGAAGTTCTGGCTTACCTATGGCCAATTATGGTCTCTGAGAAATCTCTAGGACTCTGTCATTCAAAGAACTACAAAGCTCGGGATGATTTCAAATTAAAGTCAATATTTGTGCGCAACTTTTATCCTAGCAGAATTTTAAATTTCACTTTCGCTCATTTTATATAAGCATTTTAGTAGGTTTAGGTTGAAATAAGTCTAAAAAAATCAGTTCCCTCCGTCGCCCCACAACATTAAATCCCATTATCTCACATCAGCTCAGGAATCAAATATAAAAAAATCTGAGAGAACAAACTTACTCTCATTCGGAACTTTAAAAGAAAAAAATATTGGCTATATCTTGAACGGTGTGACAAGAATTTCAAAATTTATTGCTAAAAAACATGTTTTGAGAAAAACGATAAGTTTAGATATGGATTTTTCATTCCAAGTCTTTAATCTCTGCACAATATGCGTGAATTATATATCTAATGTTGAGGCTGAAATATAAACATGTGATCCTTATCTTGAATGTTAGTATACGCATAATGATTGACATAAAATATTTTATTCGACGTTGATGCAGACGGAAAACTAGATCCTTTCAGATATTGAGACGTTTCAAAAAATCGCGAGAATTTCTCGAAAAACAAGTTAGCCGAGTCTAAATCTTTTCTGATGAGCCTATTGGAATATAGTTATCTTGCAAAAAGCCATTTATATTCTGAAAAACGAAACTTCGTCGTATCTGTGTATGATAAAACTCAATTTTGATTTTTTTTCGAAAAATTGGGTTTTCGAAGAGGAAAGATATTCAATTGACATTAACCCTTTGGCGACGGAGTTTTTGGGAAAAAAATAAAATTTCTCTTTTTCGACATATTTTATCATAAATCAATCTACATTTCTATTTTATAAAAACTTTTTATAAATACGCGTGTTTAGAAGTTTTTCAAAGTGTGAGACAGTTCAAGAGAAGGTACAACACATAAACCAACATTACATTGAACACACTCATATCTTGTTTTAGTATTTTTTTTTGGAACTGTTGCTATATTACAGCAGATATGGTACTTTTGCCTCTTTCTTCTTTCACATGTACCTTTAGCTGAATAACCTTGAATGAGTGAAGGGAAATGTCGTGCAGTTAGCCTCATTAGATTTTCCAAAGATGGTCTTCCTTTTTTTCGTTCTTTTGACTTTCAATAGATTCGAGAATGAATCGAATCACTTCCAGTCGAAAGTCCGACAGATGCATTATTTTTCCGGTCTTGAACTTGTATAAGATGAACACCAAAAGGTCTCTGATAAATGCTTTCACGAAACCTGATATTACATATGAATCTATGTGTTTCAAAATACTAGGGAACCACTGTGACCCTATGCGGGGTCACCCGTCGTCGAAGGGATAAACCAAATTAAATCAATTATTATAATATACGTATATTCAACAACTTTGCATTCCTTTTTTTTTTGATGAAACAGAAAAGAATTAAGCTTTCAACGCAACGAGAGCTAACCATTTTTTTTATTTGTTTTTCATGAAAATAATCCTTTTAAATCATGCAATTTATCTATGAATCGTTTTATTTGAGAGAAAAAAAGTTATTTTATTTTTTCGAACATCGCAATTGAATGCATATGATCTTGAATAAAAATCACTAATCGACGATCTTGCCCTATTCTTTCCAGGTTCTTATTTTTCTTTACATTCAGACAAGATTCCTGTATTCAGGCAAGGTTCTTTTCGACAGGAAAGTAAAAAAAATCTTGTCTGAATTTCAAGATGACAAGAATCTCGTCTGATTAATCAGAAATAAAATAATCAGGCAAGAATCATAAGATATTCAAGATATATTTAACGTTCAGACAAGAATCTTTTTGTATTCTTTTAAAAAGAATTCTGTCTGAAGTTCAAGATCAAAAGAATCTTGCCTGAAAATTACGAAAAAACAGAAACTGGAAAGAAATATAAGATATTTTAAATTTCTTAGTATTCAGACAAGATTCTTATGATAGGAAAGAAACAGATTCTTGCCAGCTTTCCAAGATCAACGGCACGTGACGAAGTCTTTGTATGATCAAATATATAAAGGCAATGTCTGAACGTTATTTATTCATTATTGATTCGATAGGTAGTACAATTCACTTTGAATATGTATGTACTTTTCCTAAAGCGTTCATTTCATTCAAACGAGATCTAGCAACTCATTATTTCAATTGAATGTATAGGAAAAGTTTCCACTCGATATCGAGAAAACAATGGAATATATGATATCTTTTTTTCCTTTTTTTTCAGAAAACTTACACTTATTGAACACATTTCGATATTTTACCAATCCATATCTTTCTATTTTATTTTTTTTAGATTTTCTTTCATTATCCACAAAAGTGTTTTTTTTTAATGGACGAAGAAAATCTCGATTCGTTCAAAAAATTATTCTTTGATAATGCTCTTGGTAATATAAGTAATATCTATATGCACTTTATATCTTTTTGGCTCCCATACTATCTTTTTTAGAGTCATCACCACATACAGGTAAACAACGTCGATGGCGTGCTAAGAAAAAAGATCAACATCATCGTACTCAATTATCTCTACATCGTTTACTAGTTGAACAAATGGTAAATAACTTATTTTAATCGAGCTAGCTTAACATACGACGATGATGAAGTTTGAAAAAATAAGTATTTTTTTTTTGATAATGAAAATTTTATTTTTTTTTGTGTTAAAAAGCTGAAACTGCTTTAATAACATGTGAAATTAAAAGTATTTTTTTGTTTTTTTTTTACATTTTTTTGTACACGGTGTGCAAAACTTATAATAAAATGATATGAAAAAGAAAGTAATAATAACCTACAAAAGGCTTTTTTAATGTGACCAGAATCAACCAAGAAACACTAGAAATAAGAAACAGACAAGAATCTAAGAAGAAAAGAATCAGGCAAGAACATCAAGAAAAATAAGAATCAGACAAGAATTCATGAAAAGCAAGGATCAGGTAAGAATATAAGAATCTTGTCTGGAGAAGAACTTCTTGCCTCAGCAGCCAAGATTCGGTCTACACGAATCTTGTCAGAAAGGCAAGATCAGTTTTTTCAGGCAAGAATCTTGTATAGAAGGAATGGAAAAAGAATCTTGTCTGAAAACCAAGAACCTGGAAAGAATAGGGCAAGATTGTCGATTAATGATATATGTAGTTTATTACACATAGATGATCAATATTATATTTTGAAATAGTTAATTGATATCTGAAAAACTAATTTTCGTTTGATATTCTGAACTCAAGAAGTCAAACATAATCAACAATCAAAGTATGCCACAATATTGCTGTTTTATGAATAAAGAAACGGCAGATGTTGGTTATGTTAGTTGCCACATGAATGAATGGACGAGAAACAGCGTTACTCATTGGTTCACTCATTCATGACCGATTTAGACTATATAGAAACAAACAAACGCTTCTTCTCACTGTCGTCGTCGGATGATAGAATAAAGAATATATAATTAGTTGATAAAGATTGACCGATGCAACACATATGAACATGGAACATTCATGTGTTCAACTAATGGATATGCCCAATGAGATACTTCTGTTTATTTTAAACAAATTAACCAATATTGAGGTCCTTTATTCCCTAATAGGCGTTAATATACAACTTGATAAAATCGCAAGTGATTCTGTCTTTACGAATCATTTAACATTAATGAAACGTTCGTCGAATGGTGATATCTATCCATTGGCTAAATCAATCCTTGATCGCTTCTGTTTACAAATATTGCCTAAAATTCAACATAAAATCAAGTGGCTCAACCTTGAATCATTATCTATAAAACGTATTCTTCTAGCTGGCTACTATCCTAACTTACGTGGATTTGGTCTTTTTATTGTTGAACCTGAAACAGTTGCACATCTGTTTGTTGGTAAGAATCTTTATTTTGATTGATTTAATCATTAAAAGTATATAAAGCACATGAAAATGAACATCTCTCATTTTTACTACAACCGTGTAGTTCATTGTACAATGTTTATCGAAAACAATTTTAAGTTTATATAAAAACGAAACGAAAAAATCTATTAATATAATGATACAGTGAGGGCTCAAAAAAGCACGTACATTTTTGTTTTTACGCATAAACGAATAATAAGGATACTCTGAAAATTTTCTCTCATATCGGACTTTGTAGAGCTTTTTTTGCTGATCATTTTGGTAAAAAAATGTTTTGATTTTCATTGAATAATGACGATGTCATAGTCAAAATACTAAACACTGTAATATAAAGTAGGGAAAAAAGTTTAGCACACTTTTAGTATTTGGCTAATTTTTACGTTATTTCACAACATCTGAAAGGTGTTCTATATACCATTCGACGCAGAATTTAATGGGCTACATTTTGGTAACAAGTACTTATACTTATATTGCAGTTAATTAATTAATAAAATTTTGATTTTTTTTTTAAAATTCCAACTCTTTCATATGAAAGAGCATAAAAAACTGAGCAAAACTCTATAATTACTATTTGGAAAGCAACGAATTTAGTATGCGTAAAAACAAAAATGTACATGCTTTTTTCCTATGCCAAATGTAACTTATTCTCAAACTCCGATTTGGAAAGAAACCTGCAATTTTGTCTTTTTTATTGCTTTTATCTGTTTAGAGGTAGATCATTTCGGGCACATCATAAAAAATCGTATTTCGACACTGATCATCACGTTGCCTGACAATGAAAAAGAATTATTCAGAACAGATAGAATGAAGACAATCTGCACTCGTGTCTTTACTATATTCAGCAATTTAATCTGTTTAAAGTTTTACCCATATTCTGATATTTATATTAACTTCGTTGAAAAATTATCCTTTAATCATCCAACGGAATATGTAACATTTTCTTCTTCAACTTTGATGAAATTATATATCAGTGTTGAAACGTTCAATGACTGTCTTTATCTTCTCGATGGCCGTTTCAAACAACTTCATACATTCTATGTTAATGTTTTTATCTCTACTCCTCCATTGCCAACAATTCCTAACACAGTAGGTTATTTTATTTGAAAGAATCACTAAAATTCTTTTATTTTTCTAGACAGAATTAATAAATTTAAAACGTTTTTCATTAACTTGTGATATAGGCATAGGCTTTTACGAAGAATCGCTTGTGTCTCTCCTACATCGAATGTCGAATCTAGAAGAACTTTCCTTGTATACCTCGATCTGTCGTTATAGCCATGGTAAAACATTTATTGATGGAAATAATTTGAAGAATGATATTATTTGTCATATGTCAAAGTTAAAGAAGTTCATGTTTAGTATCCATTCAAATATATTGATTGATTATTCGATTTCTTTACCATCAAATGGAGACATTCAACGTACATTCGAAGATCTTAAAGATTATCAGATTATTTCTTATATCGATTATTTTCCAAAGGAAAAGATTGGTCAATGTCATATATATTCGTATCCATCTAGAATGATATATTATCATAATCTTACAAATAGTTTTCCAGGTGGATTATTCAAATTTGTTCACAGAGTTTTACTATATGATGAACGTCCTTTTAAATATGAATTTTTTATTCGAATTGCTAAAGCATTTCCATTTCTTAAAATGTTGATTATAGAAAATCGATCACCGCAAATATTAAATGAAGATAATCATAATTTACCAATCGTTGAATATCCTCATCTTATTCATCTAGATCTCTCAAGTGCTCATGATGATTATATTGAACAATTGCTTGTTAATACGAAAACTTGTCTATCAAATTATATTCATCTTGTTATTTCTTATCGTTCCCTACAAAGAGTAACACACAACTTCACAAAAGATACAATGCGAGGGAATTGTGCCAAAGTCAAATATTTATATGTTTGTAATAAACCGGACGTTCCCGAACAACTTCATGTATATTTTCCTCATGTAGAAAATTTGTAACTATTGTTAAAAAAATTACAAAGTAAATACTTTTATTTACTTTATAAATCGTTCCTAATACATTAAACAATCATTATAGAAGAACTTCGTAATGATTCATTTTTAATATAATAAAACGAAATGTTTTGTCTGTTTAGTATGTTCAAATTGATGCTTTAAATCAAAATGATTTGCTAATACACTTAAATAACTTAAACTTAAATATGCATGTTTTGTTATATAAGTATACCAACACGATGATCGAGAAGGTAATATAGCATCAGGTTCAGTTTGTTCAAATTTTGCTTCATTTGTATTATCATCATCGAGAATAATTGAATCGGATGGTGAAGTAAAAAAAACTAGAAAAATATTTTGACTGATTTCCTTTAATATAAGATTGATCATTTGTTGATAATCGATTCGATAAATGATGAGCAGTTGTATGAATAGTTATCGGAGGTGAATCAAATTCTAATTCTTCAACAATAACTGCTGCTAGCCAATTAGTATGACGTTTTAATGCATTTATATCTGATTTAATATGATCACCAAAATAAATAACTAACGGATCTTTACTACTTATTCGACTCATAATTAAATGTAAATCTTCACTATTACCAAACAGTCTTCCTAATATTTTCGCACTATCCCTCAAGCTTTATTGATAGCCTGTATGTGGATATATCATAATACGATTAATAGTACATATCATGCCTAAATTGCAGTCATGATTTCCTGTAGGTAGATATCACTTCAGATTCCCACACCCGTCCTCCTCAGAAAAAAAAAATTCGTCAGAAAAAAAGACCAATGTACACGTTTTGGCAAAACAAATTATGCCAGGTTGTAGCTCATCACAAGGGCTATCAGAATATGTATAAATCTCAAAATCGAGTTTTTTTCGAAAAATTGACTTTTCTGAGGGAGCCCCCCCCCCCCTAATATTCTTCAGAAATCTATAGGATCCGTAGAATCTATCGGGATCTGTTCTTTTCACCCTTGTATTTGGCGCAGTAATTCATGAACTTTATAATACATATTTTTTTATTTTAGAGACGAACACATTTTCTAGACTGTATTTTTTGTATTGTCGCAGCAGCGGCAGATTTTTTTTCTAGTAAGCCGCGGCGCGGTAGCTTTCGTTTTTCTGACAAACGCGGCGCGGCACCATGTTTTTTAAACGACGGCGGTGCGGCAGCGGCTAATTCTCAGCCGCGATGGACATCTCTGCTAAGATGTGTGTCATATCTATGATGAGCCGTTTCTAGCTTGTCTGTGACATTTCGATGATAATGTTTGCCATTTTCTGTGGAGGAGGATGAAGAAATGTAAATTTCTATCCAATATACTTCAACATTTCTTTTAGATCGTGTTTTACAAAATCAATGTTTTTATGTTTTTTGTTGATTATTATTTTACATAATAGTCAATACAATGATAAAAAAAATTGAAGAAAAATAAAAGCCTTTGAAAGATATTCATAGTTATCTATAAGAATCTTCAAGATTACTAAAAGATTGTAAATCTCATCATTTTTTAATGTATTATAACTTATTGAAATACATCTATTACAAGGAAAACACAATCGAAAAGTATCGATTAATAGAAGATATTATTAATTTTTGCATATTGTTCGATGATGATCTCTACTATATGAAAAGGTAAGTTGATGTGAGTCGAATACAGAATAAATTTATAGACAATGATCAGCAATTCTAATTTTTTTAATGTCGGATGTATTTTCACCGATTCATCTATTCATTTAGTTTTAAGTAAATTAAACATTAACAGAAAATTATAAAATAAAAGTAAACAGCCAAGTGATCTGTTTGATGTTAATAACTACCGGTTAATTAATACGTCAATTTTTACATTAAAATTAATGTAAATTTACCATTGCAAGTAGATCATTGAGAAGACTTCTGGTAAAACTCAACGTGTAATTTTTGGTTGATGACAAGATTTTCACCAATGAAGAAGATTGACGGATAGAGCCTATCGAGTTGATTTAGAGTTTAGGTCTGAAAATTTCCTATGAATCAGTACCTAATCAATGAGTCATATTCGGAAAATAGCTGCCAATGTAGGATGTCAAGGAGTAACTCCATTGTTACTTTTGATAATGATATTTATTAAGCTACTTCAGTACTTTCGATCGTATTTATATCAGTAGAAATGCACATTGTCAAGGTCAACACTATGAAAAAGAACTCATACTGAGAAAAGAAAAGAAGACAAGTGAAGTGTAACGGTCAATAATCGTTGGAGTATGTATTTGCAAAATAAAAATAATCGATAAAAAGTATGTTGGATTTGTAGAGCAACTTGAAGATCCAGATTAAAAAGTTTTCGTGAAATTAAAAATATGATTCGAGTCTGAAAAGTTTTATCAATCGGATTTTGTTCGAAAAATTTTGGATATGACGATTTTTAGTCATGAAATGAGCATTATGGAAGAAGAAATCTTTTATTTTTGTTTATTGTTCTTTTTTGTATTAGTACCTGACTGAAGAGTTCAACGAAGAAAATTATTAAATAATGAAAGATGATGTTCTCGATATTACGATGATATTAAGTAATTCCATTTTTGGATCGTATTTTTATTAACTTTATTATGATAAACGGAATTCTGGATTTATGTTCGAATTGTCTAAGAAAATAAAATGTCAAATCTACAGTTTAACATCAATATGAAATCGAAATGATTCATAAGATTGATCATTGACCATATACTTTACAGATTTTCTTGGTGAAAATTTGTCTTGACAGCAAGATTCTCGAATTGTCATTAAATAAATATTTTCTACACCATAAAATTGTTGAGAATCTGTCGATAAAACATTAGAGAATCTATCTATTACATCAATCCTATGTATGTCGGAAAAATCGATGGAAATTTGTCAGATTACCATGTAAAATAAATTGAGAAAAAGAATATTCATAAAACTAAAACATTTCTTAACTCTTTTAGAGAAGGAATAAACAAAAAAAAAAACAATGTTCATTTATATTTGAATTGTTAAGAAATATCAATGATAAATTTTATAATAAAAATCATATAAAAAAAAAAAAGAAAAGTTTAACTTTGATTGTAATTATGAAGATTGATCAAAATATAGATTAGATCGTTGTATTGTTAAAGATTTTCCATCATAAATAGCATTTAAATACTTAATATTATTTAAATTAAATTGTTTTTCAAATATTTTCATTTTTGTTTGATTAACACCATGACACATTAATTGAAGTGTTTCCATAATATTATTATTATTATTATAAATTGTATTAATTATATTTATAATTAATTCTCCATTATTTTCTAATAAACGATCAAAATTATTTAAAAATAATTTTAATATACGTAAATTTTCACATTTATATATAAAATCAAAATTTATATCTCGACATTCAGTTAATATAAGAGTTTCAAGTTGTTTTGGCATTTGTAAATTATCTGAAAGACATATTTGAGGAATACGAATATAACGAAGATTATACATTGATGATAAATTAAATAAATTCATATTGATTGATATTTTTTCATCTGTATTATAAATAGTTAATTTATTTAAATGACGAAGATTTATTTTATTTGATAATAATGATGAATAATCAATTATTAAACGATCTAATTTTAATTCATTTATTAATTGAAATTTATCAAGAAGATTTTTTAAACATTCCAATTTTATTGGAATACTTTCACCATCATAATAAAGATGACGAACATTTGAATATATATCTCTAAATAATATATTTTATTCATTTTTAATTACATTTATTATCAATCATTTTCTCTTTGATATTTTCCTTAGATACACTAAGCAAACCTTCTTATCAATTATTTTATTGAAAATGAAGAAAAAACATGTTTATTTTCGTACTAAACAATATCCCAATATTATACATTAGGAAAAATAAAACTAAACGTCGTCGTCTGTGATAACCTAATGAGAAGCAATAGTTGATTATTCAAAGAAATTCTTTTATTTTGAATAAAATAAATTCAATAGATGGGATTTTATTTAGATCAAGTTGAACAACAAGTGTTTCTCATTCAATAAATATGAGCCATAATTTTTTCGATTCGATTGAGATTCTAGATATATTCAATTATCACTCTTATTGTTGTTGACCGATTTGGACAACTTTTTTCTTTCTATAGTTTACTTCTCTTTGTATGTCTCACACTGATACAAAATTTCAGATCTCCACCTCATACTATTGTTGACTTATCAGGCTTACATTAGGGACAAAAAACTCATTTTTCACAAAGAGATCTGCTAAAAAAAGACATTTTCTCCGCATCAATAGAAAGAGAAGAAGATAATGAATAGTTAATGTTGTAGAGCCTGAAGTGTTCCAGTGGATTATTTGTCTGCCTCTCTCTCTTTTCATACGCGTACATCTGAAATACTCAATGATAGACGCGTGTTCATTTTCTTGTAGAATGACTTATTCCGAATTTTGTTGCAAACAACTAACTCATCCGTTTTCACTCAAATTTTTACTGTAGATATACTTATCGGAGTTGTATTATCGCTAGAAAATGGAGTCATCTATCTCTTATTGTTCTCAACAAATTAGCATTATATGTTGACTTATAGACCGATCTTTTTTTGTGTCATATTCCAATGAAAAATATGTTAAAATGAATGTTACTGTATATCGTTCGATTCGTTTCATTCCTGAAAACCACTCAATGTTTATTACGAACAAATACCAACTAGTTCTATTGCGTAGAATTTTAGTGAATTATTGCTCGACTTTTGATTAAGTAGCATTATCAACACCGGATTTTCGCTGAACTATCTTATATCTATATGAATATCCAAAAAAGTATTGGAATTTTCGTTATCTGTCTAACATAGATATATAACAGAATTTACTAGAACAATGATGTTTTATCCTACTTCCAGTTTTTCATGTCAATTGCACTAAAAATGAGTTGCAATTCACTCATATACACCAATCAAGACATAATTAGAAGTCCAGACAGTATGGAGAATAATTTTATTGAAAGCATTTATGCTTTTTAGAGTATCATATTTGACAATATTTTGGTAAAAATACTTTTTAAAAAAGTCTTTGCTAATTTAAAGCATGTTTTTATATACTGCTGAAGCTTTAGAAATTCGAATTACTGCTTTCTCAAACATAGAGAAAACACAAAAGTCTTTGATACTTTACTTTTCAAGAGTGTATGGAAGAACGAAACATTTCCAGGTATTGGTTCTCTTTTCAACGGGACTTAGTGCATATTACAGACCTTAATGAGTAATGACTACTATGAAAAGAGTGAACATTTTTAATGAATCTTCGTACTGTGGAAATCTATTTTCGGTTATCTAAAGATCTCAATTACGATTTTTTATGTAATTCTTTGTAAGATATGAAGCTTTCAAAAAATATATACAGCATATATTATCTAAGGAAAAGAGCCTAATACCTTGAAATTTGTATATCTCTGAGAGACTTAATCAAAAAATTCTCAAACTTTTATTTGCGATCTATTCTAATTGATATCTTTATATGAGCAAAATTTCGCGTTAAAATTCGAGAAATGGTCTTGCTAAAAAAATTGGGTTCTTCCAAGGAAGATTCATTAAAAATGTTCACTCTTTTTCCAGTAGACATTGTTCACTAAGGTCTGTAATCAGCATCAAGTTCCACTAAAAAGAGACTCGATATCTGGTATTATTTCCTTCTGAGACAATAGGATTTCTATTACGAATATCTTAAAAGATTGCTACTCGAAACGTTAATATCTCTATTAGAAATGTAGATGACTATTAAATCACGGGTCACAATGTGTGTATACAAAAAAACAAAATCAGTATAATAGCATTGATTGTAGCGTTCCGTGTTAAAAGAAATTGTTTAGAATTTCTATAAATATTCTGATATAATTAATAATAATAGTCAAACCTTGTTGAATATTGATCGATAGTTGATTTAGTTTTATTAATATCAATAGTTGCATCCATAAATGCATAAGGATATGGAATAGTATGTAAAAATAATTTTTCATAATTTTTTCTTTTAATAAAACATGTTGAATCATTTTGATTTATATTTGAATAAGTTGAATAAAAAAGAATAAACCATTTTCGTTGATATAACCAAAAATCAGTTGAAAATGAATTTAATAAATAATTTTCTCTTATTTGTTGATCATCATTTTCATTTATTTTAAAACGATAACGAATTGAAAATGAAAAATTTTTTAAATAATTTAATTTTTTTAAAAAATTTTCCCATTGTAAACCATCAATATAATTTTGATCACGTGTTAATGTTTCAATAGATAAATATTGAATAAAATCAAATGAATCAATAATTAATTTTTCTAATTGTTTAAATTGAATTGAATCTTCAAATGTTGTTTTTAAATGAAAATATCGAAGTTTAGTTAATTTTAATGGTGATGAAAATTTTGTCAATGATTTAAATGGTCCATTATAAAGTATATGAATATTTAATTGTTCAATTGAATATGATAATAAATAAAGTAATTCAAATAAATCCACATTATTTTTTAATGTTATTTTTAAATTTTCTATTTGAATTAATTTATTTAATTGAATATTTGAAAATGTAAAACCATGATATGAAAGAAGTTCTAAACTTTTTAAATTTTTATATTGATTTGATGAAAAAAAATTTTTTATTAAATCAATTTGAATATCAACTGGAACTGAATCAATTTTGATTTCTTTTGTATTAATAAGAAAATCTTCAGAAAATTTATTTAAAAAATGAATTGATTCAAGATTATTAAACATATCTAATTTTATTGGAAAACGTTCAAAATTATCACTATATATTAATGAACGAACATTATAACTTATATTTGGTAAGATTTCATTTAAAAAACGATTTATTAATTTTAATGGAATTATATTTAAATCAATTTTTATACTAAATTCACTTATTGTTTTTGATAAACGAGCATTTAAACAACTAAAACCATTTAAAATTTCAATTATATTTAAATAACGACAAATTAATAATAATAATTCATCGGGTAAATCTTCCAATTTAGTTATACTTTTAGAATTCATATATCAATTGATTATAAGTAGCCGAATCTAAAAAAAGTGTTTTTTTACGTAGGAAAATTTTCTAAATAGAAGAAATCGATTTAAATCAAATTAATTCTTAAAATATTAGAAAAAAAGATCTTATGAAAAATATTATTTTTTTTTGTATAAATAAAGTAGTCATTGTTATTTTCAATAGAATCCATCGAGAAATATGTAATCAGTTTTCTTCAATTGATTATTTTTAGATAAAAGTTCATATTCTATACTCTTGTCGAACTTGTGATTGTTCGTTTTTTTTTTCAATTCGTCAAACGAGGCATAGAGAGTTTGTCAGTGAATACTTACCTGAATAGAGAACGAGCAGAAAGAATTTCTATTAAAAAGAAAAAATTCTCCGGGCTTTCTTTTTCTTATTTTTATTGAAAGAGAACACACAACATATTTCGTCTCATTTTCTTTTTTCTTTTTCTTCTAAACAACAAAAAAAATGATGTATGTTTATTGTTCAGTTTTAGTGAATGGATCAAATTTAACACTTGAATATTATATTTCGGAGAAGTTTTATACAATCGAAAGAAGTTAATTAAGATGAATAGCTATTAAAGTATTTCAAATGGATCATCATAAATATTTGTCTGTTTTTTATTATGATTAATTATATCTCGTTTTTCATCGATTGATTCATAAACTGGTGAAAAAATATTTTCGTTCTTCTTTTTCAGATTGTCTTCTAATACCTAGTAAACAAATAAAAAAGAAAATTAAAATCATTTTGCATAAAAAAACCTTGTTCTTACTGATGATGATGATGATGATGGTGATGATGATGATGATGATGATTGTTGATTGATTGAATAGATTTTCTTTTCATTTTCATTGAAAACTATTTTTTCATTATTTATATCATCAAGTGTTAAACGAATTACTTTTAATTTATTTGCAGGAAATGAAACATAAGATTCACCAGAAATATATTCGTTATTTTTTTTAACTGATAAATTAGATGGTAAATTTAAGATAGGTAATGAATGAGATATAGCTAAATATATATTATTGTTTTGTTGTATTTTTTTTAAGTCAATTTAAATAAAAATTTAACCTGAAATAATTGAATTTGGTTTCGTTTTATTTCTTGTATCAAAAATTAAACGATCAACTTGTATTATGGGTCCTTTGCTTTTTCTTAACATTATTCCATAAATGATACAATTGAAAATAATAAAAAAAAATTATTGCAATTACTAGAACATCTGTTACTTCTTGTATCGGAAAGCATAAAGAACTATGAAAGAGAAATAAGCAGAAGAAAAAAAAAAGGAATCTGCCCCGGGTGAGGATCGAACTCACGGCCTTCAGATTATGAGACTGACGCTCTACCGACTGAGCCACCGCGGCGAGAATAATATAATCTAAATTAATATTTATTCATGATAAAACTATTTATTTATTACAAAATTAAATTACAACATTGTCACTATATTGTATTTTTGACAAGTGCATCATTTATCACAATTATTTCAAAAACTTTTTTCGCCGAAATTTCGTACTTTGTAACAGATAAAAAATATACGATAAATACATTACAAAAAATTAAAAATAATGGAAAATTTCATAATTATATCAAATCGTTGAAGAAAATTTAGACGCATTTCAGAAATCTTGAGAAAATGTTAACAAACAAAATTGAGTTTTAATTATGATCAATTATAAATATTGATCATTGAACAAATTCCGTTGAACATCATGACCTGTTTTTTTTGTTTGATTCATTTTTAAGCTATATACATTTTTCTTAATAATGTAGTCATACTTTCTCTTTACTGGCTAGTTCATTCAGATACTTCACACTCAAAATTCGTCCATAGAAATAGAAAAATATAATTTCTTCTTAGTTTAATTTACGAAGATGGAATCTTAGCACGAAATAAAATAGATAGACAATTTTTTTCATGGTTGCATTAAAATAAGATTATTATTGTTTAACAACTTTCTTCTTCTTTTGAACCACATGTCACATAGCTACTACTCTCTTATAATGACATGGCATATACGGTTCACATATTTCTTTACATCGAATAAAATCATGTATATAGTTACAGTGTTCCTCAACTATCTTATAAATTAATAATATATTCATTAAAGCCACTTCTGATTCAGTATCTTCGTTGCTTTCTGATTTTTTCATCAAATAAATTGCAATATACATAGTTGAGCCCCTGTGATTTCTCATTTCGATCGAAAACGATAAAAATATGTCCAAACTCTCCTTTTCTGTTTAATAACAGTGGATAATTTATAGGGACATTGTTCATCCTACATAAAGTCAGGCATATCAAGAAGAAATGAAAAAAAAAAGAATAGCACCATATTTTATTTTTGACTTCTGTTTATCAACATAGAAATGGATGCTTGATTTCTCTTTGAGAACTTTACATTTCTGTTGAAAAAAAAACTATTTCCACTAAGATTTCTTCTTAGGGTAAAACAGTAATATCATTGAAATATGCTTAAGTCTTGTTAACTTCTATTTATGAAAGTAGATGATTTCTCTCCTGTCAATGTCTCGATTTTCTCTGGTATGAATGATGTGAAGTAATGGATACTGTTTTCTAAAAAAAATATTTCTGCTTGATTTTTCGTGGGGCGAAGCCTTTCTGATAGAAATGGAACCATTTCCTTTAGATTTACGCCTTTCCTATATGTCTGAACTTGTGCGTTGTTGTCGATAGTATCCCGACATAAAATAAGAATAGACTTTACTGTGTACACAGAGACGAGTATAGGTTACGGCTCTTTGGGAAGGGAGTAGGGAATGCTATGTGCCTCCACACCACGATGGGGATATAAACCACGTTAATCATCCCCTACGACTATGAAAACGAATTTTTTTCACGAAAATAACGTTGTACATTTCTTCAGAATGTACTGCCAAGCTGGATAAAATCGTCAAAATAACGGGTATAAATGTGCTTCTCTTAGCACTCGTCTTCCTGAATGTGCAGGAGCATTTAAATGGACCAAAAACACAGACGCGTTATTTTTTTATATAACCATTTATTTATAATAGCTTTTTCTCATGATTTGTCTAACGTGGAACTGACACATCGCTAAGTGAACAGAAACAATATATTGTTCATACTAAACTTAGATATTAATATTTAAATAAAAGCTCAACAGAAATGATGAAAAAATTCAAATGTCAGAGGAACCTTCTAAACTGTTTTTCTCCTCATTGATTTAAAGATGTTGTATCATGCGGAGAGGAAGAATTTTCTAATGTGTTGAGAGCTTTACTTTTTTTCAATAATAGAATCATTTCGGTTATACTGTGACATAATAGTTTTACAAAAGAATCTTGTTAGAGTTGTCGTACTGCTAAATACGTTTTAAATTGTATCTATGATAATTTCATTAATCGATTGGTTATTAGATGATGGTTGAGTATGAGCAACTATTAACCGATTGTTAGTATTTGTTGATGATAAGAATTGTTTTCGTATATTATTATTTATTATTGTTGTTGTCAATGAATTTGATAAAGACAATGATGTTCAAATTCCATGTTGTTATCGTGTCTTTGCGTTTATATTCAATAAATAATTGCAAGTCAAAAATAACTTATGTAGTTTTATTCATCAATTAACTCTTGATATTATAATAAAATTGTTAAACAATTGAAATAAAATTCGAATATGCGTATGTAAATAATTGAGAGACCGAAATTTCGGCCCGTGGCCTCATTGACTCTTAAAATAAAAAAGATCCAATTTGCTTAATTAGTTGTGAGATATCGTGATGCTGAGCAGAACGGCACAATGCCAACAGGATGGACCTCTTTTACAGCAGCAGTGCCAGTCACACATCAAGGTGTGGATGTGTAGACACTGATGCGGCGGTTTGGGATGTGAATATATGATGTGTGATTGCCACTGCTAATGTAAAAAAGATATACACTCTAAGCATTATGTCGTTCTGCTCAGCACCACGATATCACGCAACTAATTAAGCAAATTAGGTCTTTTTATTTTAAGGATCGATGAGGTTAGGGGTCAAAATTCTCTTAGAACTTTCGGTCCGATCCAAAAACTTGCCGAAGATTCGGACTGGATCCAAATTCCTGTGAAACAAATAGTAAAAAAGATTCAAAAGAACAGAAATGTCGAGAGATAAAAATGGATATTCAGTTTCTTTCGAATAGTGAAGAAGAAATGCTTCATAGAAAAAGTATTTCTAAATTATTTTCCAGCTCAGAGCATTTTTAGCCTCTAATTCCTTTATTACACATTTTCAACGTATTTTGTATAACTCACATATATTGTCACTTTAAACTCGAAACTTTCCGGCTCTCTCGCCTTTCGTTAAAGACCTTAGCAAACAGAATCAAAGGTCATGCGTGACCGGTCCTCGTCTAGCAACCGAAAACAATAGGTCTCAAACTTTTTTCCGATAGTTTCTTAGCAACGAAAAAAAGAGTGAACGACATTAACAAAACGTTTTAGACTATTATATCACATTCGAAAGCATTTCTTGAAAATTTAAATGACTAGAAAACGTTATTAAATGTTGTAAATTGTGCAGTTTTGCACAGATAACTGATAAGTAAAGGAAGTTAAACAAAATATTGTCTCACAGAATTCTATTACATTTTGATGAAATAATATTCTTTGTAAAGTAAAAAAGATTTCATTAATTACTCAAATAAATAATGAACATGGTTTTTTTTCTGTCATATTTATTTACTTAAAATAAAATTCGAAGATATGAAAATAAATTTTATAATAAAAATTATTTAAAAAGTTAATGTGACAAACTAAATGCACCAGTAGGTGCTTCTTCAGATCCAAATTCATTTCGAAAATATTTCGAATGTTGTGTAAGTGATGGTGGTCGAAATAATCCAGTAAAAGCACGTGCAACATAATCAATTCGATATCTTCTATCAAGTTCTTTGATATCATCTGATTGATTAAGATCAAAAACTCTTTCTATTTGTCCATCAATAATCCATATATGACCATATTCATCATTAATTAAATTACATACATGAAGAAAATCTTTATGATTTATTCCACGATCTGATTTAACTATTCCTTGAAATATATATCTAAAGGAATTATCGACGAAAAAAAAAAGGTCTGTAAAAATATGCATTTAAATATGTAATTTAAACCTATGATTAGGAATAAGATTTTGACGTATAAGATCTGTAAAAGTTGTAGTTGGATGTCGTTTTAAATCAACTTGTAAATATTCCATACTACTTATATAAGAAATCCATTGTTTTTCCATATGACAAGTATTTACAAAATAATGTTGTAATTTATCAATATGTATTTGATGATCAAATAAACTTTGTAAATTAAGATCTACAGCATTTGTACATGGAACACAATTTCGATAGAATATTGGTTCTCCTGAACGTGGATTTATAATCCATTTTCGTAAATTTAATGCACAATTCATATATCTATTATGAATATGTTGTGATATATAATCAAATAATTCTTTTGTATCTTCAATTTTATTACTTTGATATAAACGAATTAATTTCATTTTATCTGAAAGTGAATAATTTTGTACAATGATACCGGCTGGAATAGAACCAGGAGTTACTTTATCTAATGAAAAATATTTCATTTCTTGATTTATATCTGGTACTGAACTCATTGATAATGTTAAATCTTCAAAATTCTCATCATCAATTTTCTCAAATAATGAATTATCTAATGATGAAGGTACGTGAGCATCATCTTCAGATGCTTCTTCAAGTTCTAATTCTAATAGACGATGTGTTATGTCTAATAATTTTTGTTCATTTGTTTTATCTAATTTATTATCTTTTGAGTCTATTAAACGATTTTCATTATCGTTAATTGCTTCATCAAGTTCTTCTTGTAGATGATCATTTGTAGAATCTAATAAAGGAGGTTGATCATCTTTTGATGATTTCTTTAGTTCTTGTGTTGATTGACCATCTTCAGAGTTTTTAGATGAAAGACCAGTTATTTTACCTGCTTCGATTGTATTTAATAACAAAAATAAATAGAAAAAAATAAAAAAACAATGTATCGACATGATTAACAAACTCGAATCAAATAAATATAAATATACGAAACAAAGCGCCCTTACTTTATTTTCTGATTATCACATAATAAATTAAAATAATCTGTTTATTTGATATTTTGAGTCA